TTTATTCTAGAACTTGGGTGTGTGCCTGTGGGACGGGGAGGGAGCTCCTTTGTGTGGTGCCTTAGCCTGATGGATGTCATGTTTCCCTGCTGTAAGGCCAGGGGAGGGCTGGGGACCTGGAGGTGCATGTGTCCCAGATGCCAGGGGTGGAGGCTGCACAACCCTGCACTGCCATAGTGCTCGCCTCCAGGTGACTCCTGTTCCCTGTCCCTACTTCCCTCCCTCCTCCGGCCACGCAGTGGAGGAAGTGGACAACACGGTGACACTCATCATCCTGGCCGTCGTGGGCGGAGTCATCGGGCTCCTCATCCTCATCCTGCTGATTAAGAAGCTTGTCACCTTCATCCTCAAGAAGACTCAGGAGAAAAAGTGAGTTGACCTCCACAGCACCACCTGTCCTGCCACCAGCCTGCCACCCATCTCATCATGTGGTCCTCGTGCTCTACCTTCACCTACCCCTTCAGCCTTCCGTCTGTCTCCTCACTCCAGCGTCTTTCCTAATCCTACCACTCTTCCCTCTCCCTGCAGCCTCCTCCCGTCTCCCAGCCCTCTCCTCTCCCTGCCTCTTCCCCTTGTCCCCGTGTGTATTTAGCTGCTTTCACATCCCATTCTCTTCCTCCCCATCCCATTCACCTCTCTCTTTCCACTTGTACCACCCTGCTTAAGCGCCTACCAAAGGATTTAGGAAGCTTTTTTTTTCTTCCTTAAATAAGAGAAAATATGAGAATGGGAAGACCTTCTAGAGGGATAGACATGAGATTCTCTCACTGTGCAATTCTGAAATTCAAATTAAAAAATTGAAATAAAGTCTGAAAAGGCTGATACGGCCTCCCAGGAAGCCCTTGACCTCTCTAAGGGGAAGTGGGGGGGAAGATGGGAGAGATACAGAGGGTGCAAACCCCAGGCCCAGAATTTCCCGAACAGTGTCAGGCAGGCTCCAAAGCAGGAGGTGTTGAATCCTGTAAAACCAGAGCAGGGAAAAGGCATTTGCAAGTTGTGTTCTGAGCAAGACAGATGAAATGAGGCAGGCCTGTGTCAGAACAGAGAGGGTGATGGTACAGAGAGATGCAGAAAAGAAGGCGGAACTGCGCTGCTCCTGTTTGCTCTGTCGAGAAGAGGGAATTCAGCTGCAAAGGGCAGAAATTGCACTGGTTTGAGGGGAAGGAAGCTGAGGCGGGGAGGGGGTATTAAGAAAGCAGCGTTGGGGGTGGAGAGCCGAGAAGGACCCCAGCGCTGGTTGAATGGGTGGTCTGCCTGCCTTGTGGCCAGAGGCTGAGAGGATTTCCCTTTCGTCTTGAGAGGGACCAGAAGCATGGACCTTGATGGGGTTCTGTTTTTAATAACCAGTCTTACCATTGATGGTGAGCAAAATTGGAGAACAAAATTTTCAACATATGGTTTAAAAGCACTTAGAAAAGAAAATAGTGATGTTTTGGAGCGACTGTGGGTTCATCAAAAACAAGGCATGTTAAACATTTTCCTGATAGGGCACTGACGGATTGGGAGATTGCTATAGATAATAACACTTTCGATCATTCATTGAATGCCTACTGTATTTGAGGTACCCCATCACGCATTTTTATACAATACCCATAATTTTTATTTTATAGTTGAGCAAAGTGAGACTCAGAGTAGTTGAGTGACTTGCCCAAGGCCACACAGCTAGTAAGTGGTAGAGCTGGGATTTGAATGCTGACTTATTTGGCTTTAAAGATTAAACTGTTGCCATCATATCCTACTGACTCATTGGGCTCATCTAGAGTTCATTCATTCATTCATTCATTCAGTGACTATTTTTGAGGTACTCTGTACAAGGCACTATGCCAGACACTGTAGGAAATTCTGGAAGGAATGAGATTCTGCCCTTAAGTAAAGGAGACAAGATGGGGATGCAAATAAATGTAATACAGGATAGAGAGGTTCAGAAGAGGGTGAAATACTGGGGAAGGATTTCCGGCCAAATGAGTGTTTGTGGTAGGCCTTGCAAGATGGATATGATCTAAACCCTGGGAGACCACTGAGAGCAAAGGCGGGAGTCTGGGAAGTGGGCATGCAGAGCATGCAGAACAGGGCCTTTTGTTTGTTGAGAGAGTGGGGGGCATAGCGGGGAGGAAGGGGAGAAAAAGCCTGCAAGAGGGTGGAGGGCAGAACCTTGGGGACCTGGGAG